TTTTCCACTTCATCCTGTGATATTATATACATATAGAGCACCCTCTCCTTTTTTCCAGTTTCTACTCATAACCTAGCTACCATCATAAAGGTCCTATCTTTGTACGAGAAAGCCCAGAGACCAAGCTGACTTTTATTCCATTTTATAGATATGGCAGTATATCTAGTCTTTAAGCAATCATGTGTAGTACTGAATTCAGGCAAAATACATGTGCTTTTTCCCTAATATATAAAACTTAAATTGAGCATAGCCAGATGCTATTTATACTAAGAGTCTTCTCAGCCTAAGCTAAATTAATTCTCTTCCAAGTTCTTTTTATTCAGTGCTCTGAGCCTGGGTACCATGGCTCTAAATTCCTAATTGCTATAAAATAATTGTATTTCCCTTAGCTATGCCTGGAATATGGCTCTCAAAGATGACCTCCAGAATGTAATTTGCTATGTAAGGGCCCAGTCTGAGAATAATTTTACATACTATAACTGGACCTAATAGAATTCACAATAGCATCTCTCCTTTGTCAGGAAAGTAAAAAGGCAAAGATAGGCAGAGCTTAAAATAATATTTCTAAAATAAACCTTTCCTTCTAGTTATTTATCCTTCCATCTTCATATATTCCCAGCAAACATCATTGTGTAAAATTTCAAACCCAAAATCATTTCCCTTCAATATCAGGCAAATTGACAAATTTGAATTTTGCTGGATTTGTTACAGGAAGGGTATACTTTGCGATGGGGGAAGAGGAGGAATATGTTTCCATTTTTAGCGCCTGCTTCATTCTTTAGAAGTAATTTCAAAATATTCTTATAGACTCTAAATAATCAAATCAAACCTAAAATATAGAAATAATTAGCTGGAACTCTTCTTTAATTACCACTAAAACTAGCCATTTATTCATTCTAGACTCATTTCGTCATTTAGATTAAAGTCAAGGTCAAAAATACAACTAGGTTAGTAAAATTCACCTCAAGATTTAAAAATACTGACTATAGACAGAGACACCAGTCATAGTTTGAGAGTAAAGTGCATCTCACGTTGAAGACATAGTATAAAAAAAAATAAACTTTTCAAAACCATAGTAAGAATAAACTTTTCACTAGTAAAAGGAGCTGCCTTCTCTATATAGGTGGGGAAAGGCAGATTCTCAGCAGAGCATGTTCTTACAGTTGTGGACATTTCTCATGATCATGGTATGTTAACCCCAACAAAACCACCCTCCCTCTTCTTTCTACTAAGAACATGTATTTATGACTTGGCTGCAAGATTAGAAAACACGGTTTGTCCTGGTTCTGGAAATTTTTTCCAGTAAGGCTGCTCATATTAATTAGTTCTCAAAAATATTCTCAATATATAGAATTACAAGCCACTCTGCCTATTGCTTCCTAATCCCAGTTCAATTTATAAATGAGGCACTGATTCACAGATGGAGCAGAATATATACAAGGCAACAGAGTCTCTGAGTACTTAATGGTGGCTGCAATACTAAAACACTTTCCCAAAATGCAAGCATGACTGAAAAAGAGGAAGCCTGATGTACCCAGGAGAGGTATAAAGGAGACAGTTGTGGCAGTAAAGAGGCCAGAAGAAACATTTGAGAAAAGAAAGGAGGAAGGTGAAGAGTGCAGTCAAGTTTTAGCCACCGAATATTTGAAGCATTGGGAAATTTTTCAAAACAAAGCATAAAGTATAATGGGGACCAAAAATTGTACACACCGTATGACCCCAATTTTGCAATACAACTGTGTACCTTGTGGAAGAAAATACATCAAATATTAATAGGACTTGCGGTTCCCTGCCCCAGATTAAGCTTAACTTTTTCATTCTACTCTTCTGTGTTTTTAAAAACACCGTGTGCTTTGTGAGACTGAAAAGCACACACTATACTGAAGTGTTTCGTGAAAATGTGGCTCCTTTCTTAGCTATAACTGATATAATGTGGCTTTCAATGCCCACGCTCAGCGGAGTTAGGAAGAAAAGTAAACCTGTCAATTACGGTCACTCCTGTTTTTCCTGATGTAACACACACAGACCCAGGTTAGAGTAACTTCTGGGTAATCCTGGGCACTTTGGTGTACTGGCCGATTCTGCCAGAGGATCAGCAGGCAACATACCCCACTCTTGGGCCTCCGAGACAGCACTCGGCCGCCATCTCCGGCCTTGATCTCCGTGCCCGGGAATCCACCACTGTCGTACTGGGCTCACCCGGCTTTTGGGCCCCAGCAGGGTCCCCCGACGTGCAACAGGAGACTTCTAGGATATCCTTTATGCAGTGGATTGCCAGTCCCAAACTGAACCCTACCATTCCCAGGCTCCCCCGCACCCCGCGAGCCCGCAGCTAGCCCCCTACCTCGGACCTGCAAGCAGCGTCAGCTCTGCACAACATGGGCTCTGCAATGTGCCTTCGCAGCACCGAGGTCCGCCCCTTACTGGAGGCGTCCGACGTGATCAGTGAGCCTGCGCAGCTCTGTCTTTCCAGTGCCTGAGCTGCCTCACGTAAATCCTGCACAGGTGTAAATTCCTTCCAAGCCCATTAAGGAGGCTTCTTGCCTCCCCTCCTCGACGTCAGGTTTTCCCCTGTAATGTGGTCCAAAATCCCTCCACTTTTTATCACCTATGCCACCTGCCGAGGTTTGCCTCTGTGGGAGAAGCTTAAACAAGCTTGTCTGATCTTTCGCTTTGCTTACTTGGTCTTACCTAGGCTTCCTTACCACCATTTTCCTCCTCCCCAGGCAGTGTTTCCTTCTCAGGAATCATAATGGTGGATTGGCTGCAAGGAAACTAATTTCTGAGGGTTTGAAAAAACAGGTGTTTAATATTTTAAGAGACCTCATCACATATATTCTACTTCCATAATCCCATCCCCAAAATGCTATTTTTTAAGTGTAGTGAAGGAAGACCTGGAGTCATTCTGAAGGTCACTGACATCCAAGTGATTCTGAGTTACTGCCTACAAGATAACTTTTCTGGAAGTATGTTCCATGTTGGATTTTCAAAGAACACGTTGCTAGTCCTGCTTAGGTCAATAGTGTATGATGAAGACCTCTATGCACCCAATAATGTATAGGAAGTGCTTAGCCTGCATACGTATTCATAACAATATTAGCTATTATTACCATGTTGCAGAAAGGGGGCAGAGGCAGATTTGATCTGAGTGCCAAAGTAGGAAAAGAATGATATTTAAAGTAGTGAGCCCCATATCTGCATGGGACCATTAAGAGGTAAACAGGCCACTAATAACAGAGGCAATTTCAGTGCTAACTCAGTCTAGGAGATACAGAGCATACCCACCCTCGCCCTTATTTCACTTTCCATCAACCATACTGTAATCCTGATATAGAGGGAACGACTTGCCACCACTGCTAAAAATCTTCTACCTTACAGTGAAAGAATCTTTCAGATACAGAAACGTGACTTGAACCCAACATATGTACAGTAAGATGCTATATTGCAAGGTTTGGACATTTTTAGAAAATGTCACTCTAGAAATAAAAGTAGTAAATGTACACACAGTTGGAGACATAGAGCCCTACGGCCTGTTAGACTAATTATTGAGAGAAAGAAGGAAGGGAGGAATTAAATAATCTAGCCAATATAAACTCTCAATTCAGGGAAAGAGGGAACGGAGCAGGTGAACCGTTGTGGAAGATGAGTTTGGTTAGCAAGTAAGAAAATCAATCCACCTGGATGACTGATTTCCTCATTGTTTTTTAAGGGAGGAGTTCTCCCTATGTTGCCCAAGCTGCACTCAAATTTCTGGGTTCAAGGTCCTCCCGACACTCCCGCCTCAGCCTCCCATGTAACTGGGACTACAGTGATTTTTATGGATTGGCTTCCAGAGAGGAGGAGGAGGAGAAATCAAAAGTCTTTTTATCTTATCTTTTCTTTTAAGGGAAGAACCCAGCATTGAGTTGTTAAAAACTTTATAAGACACCTCCTCAATTAAACCAACTCCATTTAATAAGGCTAGAACAAACTCAAACTTAATGATTCGTGGATATCTTTCCTCAACAATCTACTACAAATAGCAAATATATAAAAGAGAAAATTTGGTAAATCATTTGCCAATTTAACAAATTAAAACCAGCAACTACCACCTCAAATGTTCTTGGGTTTTTATGTTGTGTAAATTGAAATCATAGTTTAAATTACTGTTAAAGATGCTACTTGATACACTACTCAGTATGTAAGTCCTTCAGGAAGTTATTTTGAAAGGGAAAACAATGCTGTTAACCAGTTTTGCTAACTTGAACCCAGGCTTAGCAGTCAAGTGGAAAATATCATCATGGGCGCAAGAATAGTTTTCTTTTTAGCACAATATTTAACAGAGTAAAAATAAGTATGTTATTGAAGCTATTTCAGGTACATTCTAAAGTACCTGCTAAAGGCCCAGGTCACTTTGAGGGGGAAGAATCTATTATATAATGGTTAACAGTGCTTTAAAATCACTATAATGTGAATGCATATTTCATAAATATCAATGTCATGTGTTAAGTCATGCTTACAGATACAACTGTATCTGTAAAATAAAATATTCCAAAGTGGAAAACCAATGAGAAGTTGCTAGCTCAGAATACTGTCTGGAGCTGAAAAGGTAGATCAAAATATACCATTTTCATATTTTAACAACTCCTATGACTTGGATTTTCCTGTAACCAAAAAGTGTAACCTCCTGATCAGCTCATATACAATCAGGTTCTATGCACCCCTCAAACTCTTCGTATTTGACTATACTTTTCTGGATGCCAGAGAAAATCTCACTGAAATAAAAAATACCTTTTGGAGAATTTTTCAAACAGTGCAACCTGAGAACTTGAAGAGTCACAGTGCCCTCTAGTGACCCATTGATAAGAACCATTTTTATCTCACTTTCAGAGAACAATAAAGTTTAGGTGAATATTATGCATTTTCAGGGAGTTTTTTCCTATAAATATTTACAAATGCCAATTTCTGTTTCTGAGAATGAAAATGTATAAATTACAATCAACCACATAGCACACTGGAGAATAACGACTCCTTTATTCGTCCATTGCTTTCACAGTTACAATGTCGCCAGAGGGCAAAAAAAGTCTTAACTCCAATCAGCCCTACAAAACAAGGTGCATTAAGATGTACAAATATAAAATTCTTAATATGTAACTGTGATAAAGGTAAGTTTGTGGAGTGGTGGATCTGTATGCTAGTCCCAAATCTCTTGGTGCCTGGAGGCCTGTGCCGAAGAACTTGATTTTGTTGTACTTCATTTTCTTCATCTAGAAATGAAAAAAAGTTGGCAGTGTTGGTAAGGATGTAAGAAAGTGGACTCTAAACCTTCTGATGGGAACATTAATGCTACAGCCTTTCTGGAGGAAAAATTCACAATAACTCTCAAAAAGCCTCAAATGTGCACTGCTTTAGTGCCCGAATAATAATAGCCAACATTTAACTTCTACTCTGTCCCATACATTGTTCTAAGTGCTTTTCGCATATTAGCTTATTTAATCTTCACAACAATCCTATGACATAGGTACAATATTTAACCCAATTTTATACATGAGGAAACCAAGGCACTAAACCTCGCCTAAATTCACACAACTAATAATTGGTAACACCTACATACAAATTCAAGCTGTATGGCTCAGAGTCCATGCTCGCAGCCATCATGCTATATTTCCAGAAATTAAACTTCTGAGAAAGGAAGGAAATAATCAAGGATGTACACAAACAATTTTCAATCAGGCTATTAATTCAGCATCTCTTATAGGAGGACCTAAAAGGAAAATAACCTAAGTTACTAACAGTAAGAAAATCATTAAGATAATTGTGTTAAAGCTGGACCATTGACTCAGTAACCTTACAGAATTTCTAATGATATGGAAAATGTTATCCACATATTAAGTGAATATAGGTTATAAACATACATATGTATTTTTACATATATGTATTGTGTCACCATTTTTAAGATATATATTTTTAAGAATAAGGAAGGAAAATGACCAAAGCATAAATATAGTTATGTGTAGGTGGTGAAAATAGAAAGTAAAGATTTTTTTCTTCTTTTTTCTTTTTTATATCCATTTTTCATTTTTAGCACTTTCTATAATTCTAAAAATGTTTTATTTTTAATGAGGGGTTTAGTTTAAAAATGTTTTATTTTTAATGAGGGGTTTAGTTTAAATGTGATCTAAGAGACTTTCTAGCTCTAAATTTCTAGAAATGTGACAGAGAATAGTCATGAAATTTTAGAACTACAGAGGGGGAACAAAATCTTACGGTCTCTTTAGTAGTTCCCAAATTGGCCTGCTCCTCGGAAATCAACTGAGTAAATCAAAGCATAAATTCACAGCTTTACTCCTTCCCCAGTCTGGATCTCTAGAGAATGAGGCCTAGGTAATTCTTATGATTTGACAGTTTGGGGAACTACTAACGTATCCCCGATGTGCCATTTTAATCCTTGCTGGCACATAAACCAACACTCCTGGAAACCAAATGCAGACCAGGGTCATGATCTACTGTTGACTGTTATAAGAAATCCAATTGATATGGACAAATTTGTATTTCAAATTCAATTTTTTAATTTTTTCAGAAAAAAATGCTTCTTAAAATGAATAAGAAATATACTAATAAAAATTTTTTAGCTGTAGAAATAATGAAAGTCAGACCCACCAACACTAAGCAGAATGTATTCTCACTTACATTCATTGCAAATGGCTTGTTCACATGTCTTAACTCCATGCTATTTAAAGAAACCAAAATGTGTTCCTTTGTGCTCACAGGTTTGCAAAACACAAAATCAGACCCAAAAGGAAAGAATATATTTGATACTGTATAGGGTGGGGGGGGTGTATCAGTTAACGCAGCAAGAAAGTTGTGTTTTAAACCAAAAGTTGTCTAAATAGTCCTGGTTGCACAGAGTAAGAATAAGAAAAAGCCACTCTGGTCACATACTGAAAGCATTTATAAAGAGTTGGAGAAAGAAAGACTTCCTTGGAGTTTCAGAATTTAAATTTTGTTACCTTTTCTGAAGGCACTTGGCATATTCTTAGAGCAGCAATTTTTGTGGTATAGTAACCTTAATGAGTTTCAAATTGACTGTAAAGAAATAGATGAAGTTAACTAACTCACAGGAAGCTGCACAAAACTCAGAGTCTGTCTTTTCTAGGCCACAGACCCAGAAGAATGATATACCTGTGTCACTTCGTGCATGAAGAGATCTTCCACAAGGTTTATCCCAGCAGAAAACAGGACTGACTACTGATCTAAAACAGGATAGGTAAATAAAAATGAAAGATAATTTCTATCATTCAAAAAAAAAAAAACACCCTGATATAGCAATCTCAACAAAAAGCACATATACACACACTCACAAATATTTAAAAACAAAAACTAGGACCAAGTTTGAATTGAAAAGTTCCATGAAAATAGTTTGGCAATAATTGCCATTGAAGCCACATGTACTGTGGGTAGCCCGTGCTGTTGGTTTGATTGCTTGGGTAAGTCACCAGATGACCCCTTCCCCCAAGCTGTAACTGCAAATTCTGCTTCAATTCCCTTACCTGAGCTTTCACTCTGCTTTCTTACAGTCCTGGAAAATGTTCTACTCAAGGCAGCAAGTACACACATAACTCAGATGAACCATAATTAAGGTGGCAAGAAACCAAGGAAAAGAGCAGGCAGTGTTAGTTTGACTATTTCCTTTGCATGGGTAGCAGATGGACTCAAAAGTCTAATAACCCTTTTGTACCTCAGCTAAGGCTGACAATACATCATTATACTCAGATGGGAGCAAGGAGAAGGAGCCTAGCAACTAGGACTTGGAATGCTGGGGCTTTTGTCAATTTACGTCATAATCTTAATATTAAACAGGCTTGCTCTCATTTGCCAGTCATCACCTCATTTTATGTTTTTCAAACACAAGAAGATTAAAAAGTCTTCCCTGAAAGTACTTTAGCCCCTTAGATATAGAACAGTAGTAGTATTTAAGAATCTCCCCTTATAAATGCATACATAAAACTGCCATGAGCCTTGATGGAAATTATATCAGTAAGTTGGGGGACCTACCATGGGTAATATTTTCATTAGTTATAGTATGCAACATAACCCAGGCTGTTTTTGAAACTGAGTGAGACAAAAGACTATTCCTTGCACTCCATTACTCTTACGCTTTGAGTTGTTTATATATAAAAGAAGTTACTGAAACTTCTATTTCTATTTAGTTTTATCTTTTCCTTTTTAACTTCCATTGTCTATAATGCAAACAAAATATACATGTTTCTGGTTGTGTGCTCAAAACATCTTAGATTGCTGTGCCACAGTATGTGCTCAATTAATAATTAAGGAAGACAAGAAAGAAAAAGTAGAAAGGACAGAGATCTGAGACTGAATCAAAATCAAGAGACAGTTGGCAGACTGTGTATTCTCACAGCACAGAACAGCACAGGAAGAGAATTTTTAGTAATAGATAATTAGATGAATGAAATCTCCATTTTTCTCCAATATACTAGTGTGATGTCTGATTACATCAAACTAGGGGGAAGGGAACTTGTTAATCTTTAATTTTACTGCATAGTGAAGAAGATGTATATTGAAAAAAAGTTCATATCTATCAGGAAATCTGGAAATATGAGTTGGGGATGTAAATCACATAGCCGGACCTCAGGTCCCAGGCAAACAACTTAATATACAATTCACATTCTCCTGCCTTTCTCATTGCAGAAGCCAGTGAACAGGAAGAATATTACCTAGACCATAAGTCAGAGTCATCATTGAATTCTTACAAGTCTGTTTGACAACAACAACAGAAAATAGAACGAGGAGAAAGCAGAAATATCATTAGTTATAATGATAAATATATAATAATTTGTGTTACTCATAATAGGACCCATTCTCCCCAGTAGATATTTTCGAGTCTCAAGTACTTCAAGGAGGGAGAGAATTAGAAGATTTTATGGACCATGTAGTTCCCACCCCACCAGGGAGGAGAGTAAATGTCCCAGTCCAAGCCTGACTTAGAAGAGGAAATTTTCCCAACATTATATTGATAAATATTAGCCTAATATCATAATATCTTCTCCACTCTTCTTCCAATGTGACACTCTCCTGCCATCCAACAACATCCAATCAAAAAAGTTTGGAGTGTCTACCTCATCTTGACCCGCCTCCTATCATCCTACGGTAAACAACGATATATTTAGAATCTAGCAAGTGAAGTAAATGTTGCAGAGGGCCATAAAATTGTATAGAGAAGAAAAATATGGGGGAAAAAAAAAAAAGCTGAATTGTAAAACAATCAGTGGAGGCAAAAAGGAAAAAAAGAAAGAAAGTCACTGAAGGCAGGCCATTCAAGGCCTCTCGCTTGAGTGAATAATGTCATATTCCTCATTCAAACACAAAGAGGGAGTTAAATGTTTTCTGCCTTACCTCTCACAGCCATTCCAGATCTACTGAACTGTCATTAGACCCTTTCAAAACTGTGTTAAACCTCTTCAAACTCTAGTATTTTACAATTCCTTACATTAAAAAGTTAAAGTAACCAGAGTTCCTTCTCCAAGATCCTACTTTTAGCTGGGCGGAGCTAAGGAGCCTTGAGAATGTTGTGTGTTTTTTTTTTTAACTTTTCCAGGTCAAGGATATGGCTTCCTCATTGGTAAAATTAAGCAAAATTATCTTCCTGTACTTTCTGCGTAAATTATTTTGAGATCCAACAAAAACACTAAGAAGTTTTAAAACATTGTGTTACTTTTTTCCTCCAAAGATAAAAAGGGGCCATCCTTCCAATGAGGGAAAGACATGAAATCTACAGGATTAAGTCATCTTAGATGCTTACATGTGCAGCATTCTTAAAACAGAGCCTCAAACCTTCAGTTCTGGGTAACCTCTCACAATGGAGCTGCTGTTTTAATACATTCTTATAATGCCAAGGTTTTATAAAAGGAGAGTAAAAATACCTTCTTTGGGCAATGTGTGTGCAAATGGAATGGCTTATTAAAGATTCCCTCAATGACAATGTGTAAACACTGGTCTTGGCCACAAAGAAACAATTTCCTGGGGTATACTTCATGGTCTGACTTCCCAGAAATACCCTGGAAACTGAACAAAAGGAAACGCCTTATACTGTTTTGTCTGTAGCCACAAAATATACACATTGGGTCCCACCAAGCCTGAATTTAACCCTGGGCCCCCATAAAAAACAGAAACAATAAAAGTCCCATTATGAGGCCATTATACCTAAAAATAGTCTCCACGCTATCTACACAAGAAGGCCAATATGATTACGGTCCAAAAATCTGACCACACTTAAGGGTGGCAACATGAACAGGTGCCCTGTGCTAGGCAAGAAACCACTCTAGTTGCTTCCATTCCCCTCAGTTCTACTGAATTTAAATCCATCATAGGGAGAAGTAATAGGATAGTATTTGCTAACTTACCCAATTTAGAGTATTTGATAGATCTAAGTGAATATTTACAAAAAAAAAATCCATCAATTATTAATCTTTAAAAATGTTATTATCATAACTGTGGTTCTAACAAAAGAAGGCTTAGAACAAATCACTCAGACAGGGAAAACTCTATCCTTATATTACTAACTCTATCTCTACTACTATCTTAGGTCCAAAATCAGGTCTATTCATGTCTTTCTATCCTGCTCCCATTCCATCAAACCAGCTTACTGACAAGATTAGCTACTTCTGTTAGCAGATTGGAAATGATAGAGTTAACATCAACTTCTCCCTCTGCTTTTTTCCTTAAACTCAATCACCTTTCCTTTTTATTTATTATAAATGCCTCTCCATTTCCTCTGCCAATGCCATGGTCCAGGCCCTTGGCATCCTGCCCTGGTTTCTTCCAACCTTGCCTTTCCTACCACTGGTTCTTAGCACTAGCTGCACTGTAGAATTACCTCAGAAGATTTGAAAAATACCCCCAAACCTTCTATACAAAACATCTCTAGCCAGTAAGTTCTTGATGCTTCCCTGTTTCACTCAAAATAATAACTTTTAGTGTAGAGGCACATGCATTTTATTTCTTTATTATTGCTAAATTGAAATACTTTATGGTAATAATATTTATGCATATTATCGAATAGTATGCATATTGTCAAAGGACATGCAAGCATTTCTGATCCCAGAGTGTAAAATGCCTGTGCTATTCATTTTGTAGAAGAGATTGTTCTCCCCGCAAAATTACCAACAGGTTACAGACTACTACGACTGAGTTGAAAACTGTTATTACTATTGTATAATGTAACTTAAAGGGCACAGGACTAGGGATTTCAATTTTAGTTCTGATTTCTTGGTTGACTTATTTTGTTCTGCTGAGCTTCAGTTTTCTTTAAAAAAAAACAAATGGTACTAATAGTATTGTCCCTACCTACCTCATAGAATTATTGTCAAGATTAAATGAGATTGTATGTGTGTTTGTGTGTAAACATGTATACAACTACAAATCTCAAAATCCTCCTGAGTATATGCATTTTATTTCTAAACATACTATAAACCCTTAGATTTACTTTAGTAAATTTTGCAATATAAGTAAATATTGCAAATTAAGGAATATTCTACAAAGTAAAAAGCATTTTTCAACAGTTATTTTCTCTTTAATCAATTATGCTCACTAAATACCAGAGACAGTCTTCTGTATTTATAGAAACTACAAGTGAGAGTATGTGGAACCCTTCTCTCAGGCTGCCAGCACTTTCTCCCTCATCTGTAATCATACTCCATTGTCCTTGGCAAACCCTCCCTAAATCTGCAAATAATTCCCACCCCCTAATTTCAAAGACAAGAAAACGCAAACCAATCAACAGGTAGCCTACCAACCATGTCTTACTTCATCAGGCCTGGTTATCCCCTAAACTCCACTGCGAAGTGAGGTGGAGAGAACTATAGAAGAAGTTGCTGCAGAGGGTGAGGGTGCTTGGTGAGGGTACTTGAATCTATTGAGGATGCCTCCTCAAGTGTTTGTCTGTGAGAAACAAACAGTGTGTTGAAATGTAAATTAACAGGATGTGATTCAATGAATGCAAGGGGAAGGTAGAGGGCCAAGACTGGTTTCAGGCCAAACCAGATCACAGACACTGGAACATAGTTGAATCTGTTTCAGCGCTCAGGTCCCCACTTGAAATGTAACACAGGCTATCTCCTAATTCAGGCACCATAAGAATAATTCAAGAGACCTGAAGAGGTTTCTAATTATATCCCAATATACCAGATAAATCCCAATTAAAGTTCAAACCCCACAGTATCTTAGCCAAATAAAAAGTTCTCGTAAAATATATCAAACCTTCTTATCCTATATATTTAGAAACATTAACATGTTTTAACAACAATCCAATGCATGATTTTGAACATGAACTTAGACAATTCTTCAATTAAACTGTTTTTAAATGTAATATTCAAATTTTTTTATTCAGTTGATTATTTATTGAGGAATTATTTATTACCTGTGTTAAATGCATTATACTAAAATCTCCATTGACAAAATACTTTTTTTCAGAGTTTATAATATAGTATGTAGTATTGTTATCAGCCATTTGTGGTTATGGAATATTTTGAAAATTTGATAAAAGATATAGCTACTCTTACCAGAAATGCACAAATACATGTAAAATTTGCATCAATTTCAGTGGTTGAAGATTACCTAAAGCTTATTAGAACCCTTAATGTTGGAGGAAATATAGAAATGAAAAAAATATAGAGTTTTATAACATTAAAGTAATAAGATTAGTGATAAGAGTTCAGATGAAGGAGCGTTTATGTGGATGTAAAATAATTAGGTAAGAATTCATGACAGAGAACACTTTCGGCCTGACGTTGAAGGATGAGTAGAACTTTGCCAGACAGAAGTGGAAATGAAGAGACAACACTCCAGGTTGCAGGAACAACAGAATA